TCTGAAGATCCGACTTCGGAGAACACAGAAGACACGATAACAACAAAATCGTATGATACTACTTCAGTACAAACGGATGACACAAAAAAAACTGAATTTGATGATCCGACTTCTGTACACACAGAATACATGTTAACAACAGAATCCGATGACCCAATGTCATCGTATACTGAAGACAAACAAACTTACGATACGGAAGATGTGAAATACAAAAGTACAGAAAAGGTCGAATCTACATTTTCAATAAGTTCAACTCAATCGTTAACCACAGAGGCATCGACTCAAAGGCCAGTACCACTGACAGAATTTACTGTAGTCGATGATACAAAAGAAACGGAGGACCCAATCACAGATACCACTATTACTCAACCTTCGACTGCAAGAACATCTACTTCAAGCGTATACCCTTCGACAACTATAACCAAAAAAGAAGACTATACAGATGAAACGGAAGACGACATTTTCTCAGACCAACCTAAATCTGATACCACAGTCACACAATCTCCAACTACGGAAATATCGACTTCAAGCTCGAACTATTCAACGACTATGACTGGGAAAATATTTGAAACTACCGAAACAGAAGATTGGAAGTTCACAGTGACTATTCATCATGATCCAACAGTATCTACAACTAGTCAACCATCAACTTCCTCAATCATTACAACTACTACTACTACTACTACTACAACTGATCAACCACTAACTACGATGAATACTGTAACTTCTAGTACTTCTACTACCACTAATCAACCATCGAAATCCACCGATTCCCAGATAACTTCGAAATTGAGTACAACCACTACTAGTATAACTGATAAGACAAATCCAACTACAATAGAAGTATCTGATAAACCTGTATATACTACCAAAAGTACAGAAGTAACACACGACATTCATAGTTCTAGTGAATCAACAACATCCGTATACGATCCTTCTTCAGATACATCAAGTTCTCAAATGATATCATTTAATGTAAATTGTATAACTATTTTGTGTTGTATAATTTTTTATCTTAATTTATAACACATACATACTTATTTTATTTACTTAATACCGAGTTTGAAAAATTAAAAATAATAAAACAGATAAACAAATATTTTTAAATAAATCGATTTTCAATGTTTTACTGACGAACACAAAATATGCTACGTTTTTCAACTTATACCTATCCTAAATTCAAAGTATAAACTAAATTTTAAGGGAATTTTTTAGTAGACCGAAACGTTTTATATTATTGTAACGTTCACACATTTGAGACACAACTAATGATGTAATAATTGATATTGCTAATTTTATTTAGACACATCGGTGAAAGTCGTTCTACTAATCAAAGTATAATGATAAAAGTTCGGATTTCTTAGCAATAAAAATCTATAATATATACAGGATCATATTATAAATATGTAAAAAATATGCAAACAATTTTTTTAGAAATTTATAAACTACACGACTTTGAGTACAAAAATGTATAAAAAATTTTATTGAAAAAAATTAAAAACAACATTTTTTTATGACATAGTGTTTAAAAGTATTATACTATAATTATGTGACAAATACCAGCATGAAGTAATAAATATCGATTTAAAGTTTTAAAATTGAAAACTATCACGATTATCTCGAACCATATTTATTGTGTTTAGAAAACTTCTTTCCGCGTCACAATTATTACAATTCATGCATACTTAAAATTAGATAAATCTTTAACCAACAGTTCTTCGTTTTCGTCATAATCCGTAACTTCACCGTTGATGATACTATTAATTTTTTTTAATGTAGAATACCCAAAAAATGTTGGCAAAACGTTTTTAAGTTTAAATCTAGTGAAATCTATCCCTATACCTCCTTCTTCGAACTTATTCTTAATGTTTCCTATGAGCAATAGACAATTTCTTAAGGTAACATTTGATTTTTTTAGTTTTGTTAATGTACCCATTAATACTAAAAGTGTATTGTAGTAACGGCAAGCTTATTTTCGTTATCCTAATTATAAAATAAACTATCTACTTGCGTTTTCAATACACTTCGCTTCGTTTTGGTCAAAAACGTTAATAACACATTTTACCTCATTGAAGTATTTCTTATAGTAAATTACAGCTTTAAGTCACGTACCCCAATGGGTTCATATTGGTTGTGAAGGTCCTTTTAGAAACATTTTAATAAATAAAGATAGAATTACAATGATTATTATTATTATTACTGTAGAATATGAAACATTTATACAACTATCCAGAATTACGCGATTAATATAAATTTTCATTAAAATACGCAAAAATATGCAGCAACAGAAAACTTTAACCGTAGAATCTACAGATTACGAAACCTCAACATTTATAATCAAAACTGTTCTATGTGAATCGTAGAAAAATATGCATTTGCATATAAATAGCCCTAATAATAATACTTTTCTCGGTGCACTCCCACTCCACAGATAGTTTTGATTTAGTCATAACGTCCGCGATAATTGCATCAGTGAATCAACTGAATTTTGTATTCATTTTCCTGTATGCTTCAAATGTAATTATTATAATGTATTACAACCTAGAGCCATTGATGAATAAGTTATCCTAATCCAGTTCGTATACCCAACTCCTAAGACGAGACCTGCAAATAACTTTCAGATTTTTTTAATCAGCCTTTGACACGTCTAACCGTAAAACGAAGGTTTTGCATTCGAGTAATTCTTTTCATCCAGCAATATGACAAGCAATAGTATGGCACGCTGAAATCACCGAACGGCTAACGGTGGGCCGAACCAAAATTATCCATAGATCTCTCTCTATGGTTTCAATCCGTAGATTGGTTTGCAGCCATCTTTCAGTCTTCTCGTTATCCATAGATAAATAATTAATATATAAATTAATTAAATAATATAATAATAAAATTAAAATAACAGCATCTCATCAATTAAAAAATTAAAAAAATATGCACATAGATTTTTTTTGTGTTGCTAACCGTTAGCGGCGCCATACTATAATCCCTACTATATTTCTATTGATTTTTATTTCTTACCATTGTTATAACCATCAAATTATTAAGAGGAATCTGTGATATTCATTTAATATTTTATTTTTAACTACTTTTCTATTTTAATGTTCCTTCATATCTTCTTAATTATTCACTGTTTTAATTTTAATTTAATTTTATTATTTTTACTAGGTCGTAAATTGTATTATATATTTTTTGAATCTTAACTGTCTAAATATTTAATTAATAATAATGATAATTCTAATAATTATAATAATTATTATAATTATTATAATATTATATTATATATAATAATAATAATTATTTGTCTAAATCATTATTTTACGAGATTACTTGAAACGATAAAACCTTCGGATCCTGTGTGTTGGATTCTTGAGAGATACTGCTTGGCTCATAAATTAAGACTCCTCTGACTGGTCTGTATCAAAGTAAATTATAAATGCCCAAATGGTTATTACATAAATTATTTTATTTAAAGTATAATGAATTTAAATAAATGTTAAAAATCACGTACATCATCGTATAAAATCAATGCATTTTAAATAAAACAAAGATAAAATCACGTATCTATATGTGATGTTATTATGGCTTCGATCAAAAAGTTTTCCAAGTTTTTCTCTTTAGAGTTAATTTTCTATGAATTAATGTAATTAATAATAAAATCGATCTTTACTATACAACATCCAATAAAATCTAAATTACCATTGTAAAGTAGTGATTCCTGATGACATTTTCGTATTTTACTCTTTGGAATATACGACTATGTATTAAAATTGTTAGGATATTTTAGAACAGGAGATTATATCCATACATATTATATCTTAAGAGCATTATTAAAATTGGTTACCAAGATCAAAAAGTTAAATTTTACAATATGTCGATCCAGTGGCGTCTTTTGGGGAGGGGCAGATTATGGCAAATGGCCCACTCTAAGAAATTTTAAAAAGTCAGCAATTTTTTGTCCGATGATCAATTGCTAAAATCGGTAAATAGTTCATTTTTATTTACTATTTAGTACTCAGAAATCAGATAATATTATCTTTTAAATACACGTTCACGGTTTATTAAAATTTGAGAAACACTAGCTCCTCCACAGTTTATGATAATCGTTATTACGTAAACCTTATAAACTTTATTCTTGGTATATTATATATTTCTATATATGTGATCTTTATAAAACAGTGTTCTTGATATCGATACCATAAAAATTGAGCTCATACAGACGCGTACTGGCCCACCGAAATACCGGGAAAATCCCGGTAAGCCCTCTCAAAAATTATAAGACCTGGGCTTCTTACCAAATAGGTACCTGTAGTTTCAGTTAAATTCAGTAATTTTATTATTTTTAACAATTACAATACAATACTGATATACAGTCGACTTCTTAATTTAATACCCAATGGGAAATGAGTAAAACACACAATTTTTCGAATAATTTAATTAATTTGCTTTTGGTAAATATGTCTGTTACCATTATTCTGATTATTAAAATCATTCGATTATTTTGATAATCGAAAAATAATAATTGAATAATTCGATTATTCTATTTGATTATTCCCATCACTAGTTGTAACATCACCAGCAAAATCGGTAAGTAATTTTGCTGAAGTTCGACGGAAAAAACGACCTATATCTGCTCGGGAATACAGTAAATTTAAATATATTGCAATTTCTTTAGGCATATTTCCAATTTTGTTTTTTCTAACAACCTATGGTATGTAATATTCATTAATAAAATATATATTACACATTAAACTACTCTACTCAAAAACAAATTGTTCACGATCATTCAGTAAATAGATCAGTAAATAGAACGTGTTTGGACTGTTAACCGTTGAGAAATACGGCGATTATTGAAGTAGGTATGAATAAGTCCGAAATCGGCAACAGGCGTCCCCGTGGCCCGTATCAATATTTTCTACGTTGAACAATATTATCTCATCTGTCTATAAATAAAATTAATAACCTAACAACAATCGATACGTGTTTTTAGAAAAACCATGATGAGTCTGGGAAAAGTCAAAAACCATATAAATATTATGATAAAAATTTTAAATAATATTAAATTCAACGTTATTTTGTTTGTAAAAATAAATAAATAAAATAGTCGACGAAAAAATATTAATAAAACGATAAATTATTTAAAATATGCATTTAAAAGTATAAAATGGAAAAAATATACCCCAAAAACCAAAAAAAACGCAAAATATGCATTTATATGCACAATAAAATTTCAAAACTAGCTTTGTGGAAGCATGAAAAGTATTTGTTTCGCACTCTGCTATTTTTGTGATTGTGCAAAAACAATATACAAATGCTACAATTCTTCTGCTCTATTCATTACCGATACTTACATGTTTTGTTCCGAAAAAATATTTTATTAATAGTCTATTGTTCATAAATATTAAATATTCAAATGTTTTAAATATTATAAAGTCGGCAAGTTTAATCAGTTAAAAAGGGTGGAAAATTTGAAATGACACCCCTGTTCCGAACTGAACAATCATTACTCACTACTCGTTACTCGTGTTATTTTATATAAAATTATATATGAAATAAAAACAAAAATACTTAATGCCATCATATTTTTATTTATTTATAATTTTACAGATAAAAACATAATTTCTACAACATGTAATTATTACTGATAAACAGATAACATTTTTTAATATTATCATTAAAAAATGTTTATATTATTCTTTAAGTTTTAAAATAAATGAAATTTCCATTGTAGTTACATTTTGAGTCTTTGATTAATCTATTTCTTTTCAATTTCAGCGTCTTTAGATTTCACCTCCACACTGTCTTGGGCCTTGGGTGATGAACCACCAATGGAAACCGTTTCTTGTCCGAGAGATTCAATGTTGGAAGACTTCAACAACGATGATGAATCACCTGAGACTGAACCAGCAGAGAAAGAGTTGAACGGAGCTGGTGTCGAAGAATCGAAGAAAGATTGTTGTCCAAAACTGAATGGAGATGCTGAAGAGCTAACAAAACCGTCTTGAGCAACACTTGAACCGAATAATCCTACGGGGCTCGCAGTTGAGCTGTATGAGGAAATTGGACTAGCGGTTGAACTAAATATACTTGATGGAGTAGTGCTGTAGAATGCACTGCCAGATGCTGGAGATAATCCAGATACACCGAATGCAGCACCATCAATAGATTGACCGGCAAATGCTTTGTAAGCGGATTGGCCACCAAAAGCTTGAGCAGATTCGTATCCTAAACCAATTGGGGACTGTTGGTAGTAGTGGACAGTGGCGAAACGTTGAGCTGGAGCGGCAACTGGAACTGGAACCTTAACTTCAACCGGAACTTGAACTGGGTATGGCACTTTCTTCTCTACTGGGTATGGCACGGGTCTGTCCACGGACACTGGAACTCTGACCTCTACTGGAACTGGGACTTTAACGGGAACCTCGTATTTGACTGGGTACGGAACACTCTTTTCAACTGGGTATGGCACCAATTTTTCAACTGGGTACGGTACAGCTTTTTCTACTGGATAAGGCACTGCCTTTTCGACCGTGACTGGGTACGGCACTGGTTTTTCTACGGGGTATGGTCTGTCAACGTTTACTCTTACTGGGTATGGCACTGGCTTTTCAACTGCGTACGGGACTGGTTTTTCAACTGGTACATGTACTGGGTACGGTCTGTCGACTGGGACTTTCACTGCATATGGTACAGGTTTCTCAACTGGGTATGGTACTTTCTTCTCAATTTCTACCGGGTATGGTTGAGGAATATGAACTGGACGGTCAACATTGACTCTGACAGCGTATGGAACATGTTTTTCTACGGCAACTGGGTACGGTTGTGGGATACGGACCAATACGGGGTATGGTACTTTCTTCTCGACTTGAACATAGTATGGAACTGCAACTTCTTTAGAAATGGTAATTTGTTGCTGAGGTGCTTGAGCGATTTGCACTCCGGCAGCTTCGCTGTTGTACAATTCAGATTTGACGTAAGAAGCTGGGGCATAAGCTCCAGAAAAAGCTGCACCGTATGTGCTACCAAAAGCTGGTGATCTGTTCAAGAGAACTGGTTCAGCAGATGAAATAGCTGGAGCGGCGGTAGAAGAAACATAAGATCCATCAAGAAGTGCAGATGGAGTGGAAGATCCGATGAAGGATGCTCCATCAAAAGATTGAGCTGCAGCGGCATTCGAGTAAGCGTTCGATGCGAACGAGTTACCAAATACAAATGGAGCTGGAGTAGAGCTGTATGAAACAGATTTGAATGGAGCGGCAGTTGACGAGAATGAGCTTCCGAACGCAAATGGAGCTGGAGTAGAGCTGTATGAAACAGATCTAAATGGAGCGGCAGTTGACGAGAATGAACTTCCGAATGCAAATGGAGCTGGAGTAGATGAAGCAAAAGACCTAGCACCAAATGGGAATCCAGATGAACCGGACGAAATGCTGTCAAAAGCTATGTCTCTTTTTTCATTTTTGGTTGCAGGCTTAACAGCTGCAAACGCGGTGGACACAACTAGGAGTCCTAGAAGGACTACTTGAACCTATAAAATAAAAAATAAATAAAATTTAATTAATTCGCAGAATTATTATTGAAGTATAAGTAATTCTATTTAAATTAAAAATATTTATAGAACGAAAACTTTTTCATCTATAGGTCATATAGTTGTATATGACAGTCGCATATGATGTACAACCATAGTAAATAATCACTGATCTATTAGCTGATATTTGTGTGATTATTGTTACAATGAGTCTTAGTATTCGTAACCATACGTTTTATTTTCTACTGAAAGACTTAATATAGAAATTGATTAATAAAATTGTATTATTTACAAAATAATTATTATTAAAATACGTGAAATAGAATTTTAATTAATTTATTAATAAAATAATAAAAAGTAAAATAAAAAATTAGTAAATGGTTAACACTCGTAAATTAATATATAAATAAATAAACAAATAGTTTATACATAGAAATAAATAAATGCTTATCCTAGAGTATTTTTATGTTGCTCCGTATTACAAATTCATCATCAGATATGCACAAAGTCAAGAAAATCGCGGCTGAATATGAAAAACTAAAGGAAGGAATACATTGATAAAATTGGTCATTTTACATAGAAATAATTTATTTTAATACATAGATATGTTAAGAAATATAAATACTCTGGTTATTATTCTTTATTATTATCTAAAATGTATTGACATAAGATGTTATTTTTAAAATAGGTTAGTACATTTAAAATGTTATTAAAATTATTTTTTCTTTATTTCATTGTGTAGGTAGGTATGTGTAACTCTTCTAAAACTAAATTATTATAAATGTTGTTTTGAGTACTTAATATTTCTAAACAATAAATAATAAGTCTGTATTGATATCAAAATACATATTATGGTTATTTTGTAAAACATATTTAGCAAAATTTAAATTAGGGGCTATATTTTAAAATTTTATTTCAGGAATGCGTTCTTCATATCTTATTTTAAAACTTCTATTTGTCTTACCTATATGAAATGTATTACAATTACTTTCATCATTTATATATACCAAATAATCCCTTTTTTTTTGAAAATGCTAGTATAATATACATATATTGTTATAATTACATGTATTATTTAAACTTAAATGTTATTGTAATAGATTTTATATAGATAAAACAAATACTCGTATAAATTTTAAAATAAGATATAAAAAACAAATTTCTGAAATAAAATTAAAAAATACTGCCCCTAATAACTAATTTGGGTAAATATAATATCATATATATTTTATTTATTTGTGTTGCACAATTTCTTTGAATACAATTTTTCAATAATTTAACCAATTTTAATTTTAAACCTATTTTTACTATAATTCAATATAAAAAACGGAAATAATAAAATAAAATAAATATATACATTAAAAATCAATTTATATAACTATATATTATCCATTTAATTATTTAGTTTCAAGAAATAAACACTATTCGTTATTAATAATTCATTACTCCTTCCGAAAGTTTTATACATTTTGTTCATTAAAAAATAATTTTTATCTGTGTGAAAAAAAGAAACTTAGTTAAATAATATTTATTTTCCAACTATAACATTATATATTACAGAACTGATGTTATTAATATTATTTAATTAACTTTATTTATATTCGAAATAAACTGAATAATATTTAACAGTTTTAAATAAAAATAAAAATAAAGAACCTTAAAACAAACGGTTTATAGTTTAACACAAATTATATAAAAACATATTGCATTCTCACCATAGCACTCGGAGCCATGCTTGTTTCTGCCTGTTGGTTCTGTTCGATGACCAGCTACCAAATGACTGTATGCTCTTCTGGACATCAGTACTTACTATATATACTTGCGGTCTGTCTTGGACCATCTCCAGAGAAGTTATTGTTAAAAACCAGTAATACGGGATGGGACAATTTTTTTTTACACATGAAGCTTCTTCCAGTCGTAGATTGTTGATTTACTTTTTGGCTTTTTTTTAATACAAATAAATTTATACGCTTTATTTTTTTTTTTCGTCTATATGAGTTTTTTGCCAACTTACCTTCAAACCAGTTATGTGCACTCAGTGAAGGGTAGCCCAATTACAGATTCCGAAGATTTTGTGTTCTTGGTAACCTTCGATAAATACCTAAATTATATTCCCCTTCGCCCATCGGGTCCGAGTACATCCGTCTAATTTACATTGTATCCCTCAATACTGTATCGTTTTATAATACTTACCTACGTGTATCCATATCAAATTTGCCATTAACATTTGAATTACTTTAAAATTTAAAACATTGAGTTTTAAATTATGCGAATTGTAACTTTTCAATACCTTTGTAATCCGAGTGCCATATTTTTTTTTTTTTTTTTTATTGCTCTACCTAATATATTTTTAAACCGAGGTGAGTTTTGGGTATGTATTGGTTTTTTTTAGTAAGTTTGCACAATTTTTATTCCTATAATCGATACTTCGTTTAATAAAACTGCATCGAAAATAGTCCATAATATTTTATATGATCGAAAATTGGACACAAGAGTACTGTTAAAAAAGTTACATTACCAAAATTTTTTTTCGGGCGAAAAAAATATTATAAAAAAATATTGCGAAAAATTTCAAATCTCTTCTAACTAATGACTGTTTTTATTTATAATTTCTTCGATGAAATAAGTTGTTTTATGGTTAAAACTTAAAATAGTAACTTACTATATTCAAATAACATTCTGAATTTTTCATTTAAAATTGTTTTCATTATTCTTTACTATGAAAAAAATATTGTTTTATGGTAAACTGACTTCATGCTCATATGCTCACAATATTGATCTATTATTATCGTTATAAAATTAACATATAACAATTGTCTAGATTGTATAGATGGTTTATTATACCAGTGATAAATTTAGTAGTTCATATTCAATACAATCTAGATAAGTCAAAGAACACAGTGTTTTTTCATTCTTGGTTCATTTGCGACAGTTTAATGTAGTTTATTGGTACCTATCTAATATTTTAATGATTTACATATATTCGCTGTTGCTTTCAAATGTCAAAATAATATTCCGGCCTACATCGTCCTATCCCACTAACGCAGTACCTATCTATTATATAGAGAAGACCTGGTCTAGTTGCAAACAAGGTAAGATGTAACATAGACGTAAAGTATTTGTAGACTGCTTCTACAGAATTCCAATACATGGTTTTTGACTTGTAAATAAAGATTACCTATCATACGTTTTATATATCTATGTACCTAAGGCGATAACAATCAAAAAATTGATTTTGTCAATAAATAGTGAAAATAATTTTTTATTTTTCCATTCAACTTTCTATCACAGTTTTAAAGCTTAATAACTAATTTCAGTCATACTCAAGTCCAAATGTAGTGGAGATTTAATTACAACAAAACTCATTAGTGAAATTTTTGAATTACCTTTTTAACTACAACAAATAAAAATAAAATGTTTGTTGAGGTGCAATGTGACAAACCGTTTGGGGCTATTTGTAACACATTTTTTCACGTATTATTTATTTTTAATATATTCACAATATGATTATATTAGACTTGAATAGTATTTAAATAATATATTGATAGATATTAAGCACTAAATATTTAATAAATATTAATAACATATTAAGTAGAAAAATTACCTTTAAAAGGCAAAAATGCTGTGTTGACTGATACTCCAGAAAATAATGAAATTGATAACAATTTAATAATAGAGCTAATAAATAAATAGCTGCTAAAAAAAAATATTTTTGCGAAAACAGAAAGCCAAAAAAACAAAAAAAAAACAAAATATGCTAATATGCTTATAAGATTAAAATGATACTTCGGACATAGAAGAGACATTTTATTTAGTGTGTGTGGACATTTTCAGTTCGAGTAAAGCAAACGAAGTATGAATTGAGTGATACGAATGTAATTGTTAGACTCGTGTAGATTGTGCAAGGGAATATAGAACGATTTATATTTTTTATTATAAAATGTAACAAAAAAAAAAATCATAATATTGAACTTTATATCAAATTATGTGTTTATTACTAAGGACCTACAATGCATATCATGAAACAAGACAACATTTTTTCTCTCTATTGGCGTAAGAAATATTGATAGTGAGTATTTATAAGACAGTTACAAATATTAAAAAGTTTATAGGTAACTAGACACGGTGTCCCTTACCAGTTCTAACAACATAATAAAATAAATAATAAATGTTGATCTAACAACATTTATTATTTGTTAGAACTGGTAGGGGACACCGTGTCTAGTTACCTATAAACTTTTTAATATTTGTAACTGTCTTATAAAATAATACTCACTATCAATATTATAATATTAGAATATTTTATAAATAGTTATTATTTATATTTATATTGTTGTAATAAATATATTTTTCTTCTAGTTTACTCTTTACTTAATCTAAAACTGTAAAATATATTTCCAATTTAATCTTTTTTCGTCCATTCAGATAAACTTAATTTTCCCTAGTTTCGTCTGTTTGAAGTTTCTGTAATTTACTAAAGATTTTTTTTTCTTTTGGAGAAAGGGAGGCATAATATTGCATATTTTAATTCGTTAAAAAAAATTAACATGAAAACCTTGATATTTATTAAAAAGTAAAGTCTTGGTACTTTATTCAAAATAATCATAAAAACGATGTATTATTCAATAACACTATTTTGCATTTTATTTTTAAGTAAGACCCGATTATTTTTTATAAACATTTGTTGCACATTATGATATATTCTGTGACACTCCCATTTACGTTGGTGTTTTAATACAAAAATAAACATTTATATCAACAACCAAAAAAACTCAGACCACGTTATTATTTTTCGTGTTGTTGTACTAGTCTATAACTCGTTTTAAAACAAAAAAAAATCTTAGGTAGCATGCAGATATATATGCAATTTAGTATATAAATGTTCTTCTTTTAATAATCTGGTTTTTTATTTTCATTATGGATGAAGCGTGAATGGTGTTAAAATTTTTTTTTTTTTCTCTTGCCATGAATACTTTTTCTTATAGTATTAAATAAAAACCACTTTAAGAGTTCTGTACTCGAAATCTCATTATAAGACACGAAAATACTTTAGAATGATTACAGAAATGAATTGTCCGATAATATCAACAGAAATAAATATGGAAATGTTATAAACATTATACTTCTTCAACAGTATGCATAGAATATTTTATTAATAATTAACTTGATAAAATTAATAAAATTATACTATAAGATTTTGTAGTTTAATACAGAACAGACTGTATATGACTATTAAATTATATTTTGTAACGATTGTCACAAAAATATACTATACTGTTAAATGTTTTCAGAGAGTTCAATTATATGCTTTGATAATTAAAAGAATATTATGACAACATCTTCTGTAGTTTAGACATTAATTTAAGTACCTTTTAGGCCTAAATCACTTAAATAGGCTGGAAATAGAAATAATCAGTATTTTCGTGTTATTAGAAATATTTATCATAGTTTAGCAATAGTTAAAAAGTAATTTACTTTTTATTTTACAATGTAATTAAAAAAAATTGAAAGTCTACTCACTTATTCTCAAAACAAAATAATAAAAAATTAAAATGAACAAACATTTTTATTTTTTTCACATTAATTTTAAATTAATTTTGGATAAATTTCACATAAGCAAGATCAAAAAGTTTAATATATTCCCTCAAAAATGTCCAAGTATTATTTTGAAAAAAATTAAACAAATTAAATGTATCAAATGTAATATGTGTATACTATTAATATATTACAGTGATTTGTATCACCTTGATTTATTATTCTGCTGAATCCAGGGACTTTATTTCAACTAAGTAAGTCAAAATATTCAATAAATACATTTATTATGAAAAAGAAAATTAATAACTAACATCAAACACACATATAGGTTATACAAATATTACCATAAAAAATATTTCTTTTATTTGTTACAGTAATTTTAGTATGAAAATACATATTTAACATTCATTCTTGATTACGTGATAAATTTTATTAACTTTTAGACCTCCAATCAATAAATTCATCTAAATCTGAACCATCGGATTCTACATCTTCTTCTACTTCATTTTCAATTATCATTTTGTTCATATTTTCTGTAGCTAAAGAAATTTTTTCTCTTTTTTTCTCTAATTCAATCACTCTGTAACACAAATATGATGAATTAATTTTTAAAAAAATTGATTATCACTAATAAAAGCATATATTGATAGATTTTTCTATAGTAAAAGAGTTCCAATTTGGTAACACCAATTAGTAAGCTACTAAAAGATTTATATGATAGTTAAATTTACAATCTCTGAATAAGTTACACCATCAACTAAAGTTAAATACAATATATTTTAGTTTACATAATTCATTAGTTTTAGAAAACCATTAAATTGGTAAAATTAATAACTCAAAAATATAAAATTATTTTACTAAAGACAACCTAGCAGAAAAATGTAGTTTACACTTTTAGTCAATTTCTAAAATTTTTATGACATGATGATCATATAAAGTTTAAGTACATGACAGAAATATATAGTATATCACAAATAAAATATTAAAATACAATTTTTCATTTTAAAGTCAGAATACTTCATTTAAAATTATAGGAAACCTTAATGATATATCATTAGGTTTCATTGCAGTAAATAATTATTTTTCAGCAAAAGCATAAAAGATAAAAAAACTTTTTTTTTATGTAATAACTATAAATCCATTTATTACATTTTAATAATTTAAAAGAAAAATTAATAATGAATTTTAATATTAGTTTCTATATAAAATAAAAATTTAAATATAGTTTTTTCTTAAATAAACTTATAATTATTTTAAATAACTATCCAGAAATTATGCCATTTAATTTTTAAGTAAATTAAATACAACATTTTTTTATTCTACAATAACACATCACCCACTTATAAACTCAACTAAAACATTTCAAACTCAAAGATTCAGTACCACCTATGAAATATATCCTATCTCTTAATACCATATTAATTAAAATAAAACATACTTTGACCAATGTTTGATTTGTTCGTCAATCTCTTCCACTTGACGTCCATAAGTAGCTTCATCTTCATTATCTGCCATTATTTGTTCAGATAACATATTTTCTTCTTTCATTTCTTTTTGAAATTTTAAAAATTCTTCATCTATTGAACTAACATATTCCTCTTTTCGTATCTAAAAAACATAAAATGCACAGTTTAAATGATTAAATAAATTTACTTATTAAAATCCCTCACTTTAGCATCCAACATTGGATCGTCAAAAAATCCTTTTGGAAGTTCACCTTTATCTAAGTTTGAATCATCTAGACATTCTGGTTCTTCCTCCATTTTTTCTACATTTTTTTGTTCCACATTTTCTGATATTGGTTTAGTCGAAACAGGACTTTCAAAGAAATCACTAGGAACACTTGGAACTGGTGAAGTATAGTTCTTTAAAATACCTTAATACAATTAAAAACAATTTATTATTAAAATTTAAATTTAAAAGCACTAAAACAAACTTAATTTACCTTTTAACTTTTTTTGTGGTACAGCCACAGAATTATCTTGTTTTGGTAAAGTACGCTTTAAACTTTCAGTAGTCACTGCCAACCTTTCAGTCATTTTTGATGATTCTGGTTTTCGTTTGGAAATGTTTTCTTTATGAACTTTAGAATTTATATGATCACTCCAAGATGAATCATCTTTAATATTAAATTTGCATACAATACAAGACAATTGACCATTATTGCTATATGTGTACAAATATAATTAAGGATTATAATTCAATATTATAAGTTTATTTAGTTGAATACTTTTAACCACTAAATTAAACTTGGAGCTTATAAACATAAGATATTATTTATTAAAACAATTTCAAATAACATCTATTTATAAACTACCATGAAATATGAGTAATATAGATACATTTTATAAAAATTCAAAGCAATTTTAATTTTACTTTAGCATGTAAAACGAAAATATCAATAATATTAAATAGTTATACACAAAATATTATAATAATAGTCAGTATAAAATTATTATATTTATTTATCATATTATATTTTAATGAAAAATTATTTTAGTCTTATGAACAATATAACTAAATTAAAATAACACATTTAAATATACTAAAAAATATTAGATAAATAAAAAATAATATGGTAATGAATCAGAAGATACCTGAAGTAATAAATAAAGTATTAAATTTTACATAAAAGGATATTTTGCCAGTGGTGAGTCAATTTTCTTTTTGACTTTCTGAGTTTGCAATTTTTGTTTGAGCATTAATAAACGCAATTGATTTTGAGATACTTGTTTTTTCTTTGCTGCGCTCATTGATGCCATTTTTTTTAACAACTTTTGAAAACTCAAATAAATAATCTAATAAAAACGTCCCTAAAAACTAAGAAAAAAAAGTGTAACCCTAAGAAAATACACAGCAAACATAAAGTTTATAAGTAAACGAAATAATTTAATGCTCATCAGATACTATACAGTTGAAAACTTAAAATAATATGTCTTATCAATTTTAATATTTTTGTTATTCAAGCCTAAATGGATTTGTTGATAATAAAAACGACATAGTGTCCAAATCAATTTTGGTATAAAATGATTTATGTAACATGAGTTCTGTCAAATAAATATAATATTATTATACGTAAATTTATTACTAAAAAACAAATTTAAATAAATTTCTTTGATTACTTACAGGACGATTATTACTTAGTCCGACAACCACTCATACGCATTAGGTAATATTGTTTATACAACACTCACGTTGACATAAATATTCTACAAAAACCAAATTATATTCATCAAGTCCATATCTTGGTAGCCACTATGCTAATATTATTTTAATACTCTGTATGAACAGATAAACCATTGACAATTATCTCAAAGCTTGAAAATTTTTTTTTTTCAATTTAATGTGAAAATAAATTATCATCGATTCATTTATTATTTAAGAAATGTGCGTTACAGAGTAAAAGAAATATATAAATATTCTTATTACACCCCATGATGTGTATGCAGGGCCACATTTTTGGAGGGGGGCACTGGCTACAATTGCCTCGGGTACCAGATTTCGGGGGCACCAACATTTTGTAGTCGGAAATCTGCTCACTTTTGAATTATTAAACTTAAAATTATTTTGAAATTATTATTTTTTTGTTTTTAATAGCAGTATCATAAATTAATGTAAATGTATTTAATTTATTAATATATATAATTAATGTATTTATGGCAATATAACTATTAGCGATCAAAAACATTATTAATATACCTAATATTAGTTCCCAAATTTATTGTTATAATGTCATAAGCATAAGTTATTTATAATAATACGGTGTAGTATGTTATCACGTGGCGTGCCTACTACACAAAAATAGCATTGATTTTAGAATATCTAAAAGGCTCATGAGGATCTATCTCCTATATTTTCCGTGTGCAGACCCCTTAGAGGAACGCCAATTTTTTTTTTTTTTTTTGAGTCGGGGCGCAAAATGTCTAATTACAGCACTGTGTGTTTGACATATCAATTTCATTGTGATACATTTTTATTTTCATTTCTCGTATACAAGCAAGTATTAGATACAGTACAAGTGTTCCAAACGACAAATGTGCTACGCCGAATGCCAGTTTTGCCAAGGTATCTATATGAAAGTAATCAACGAATGGATTATAAATATTATCAACAAAATTGCCATATCATCACTATGCATTCATGTCAAGAGACAAATCACAACATGATAGCCGTAGATTAGAGCTCAGTTTTGAATTTAATGGTATTTGAGTCACAAAAATGACTAGCATTTATGCAGATAGGAAACCAAGTGATCGATCAAGGTAAATTAATTTTTTTGTTTATCTAGTTTTAGATATTTCATGTCTAACCCCTATGATGCAATTAATTTCCATTAAATTAGGTGGATATGCATTTATCCAGCGTATTTGAATAATAAAAAAACATTGGCCGAAGGACGTGTAGTTCCAAAAAAGTATGCTGTAGAAAATCCGACTTATCAAGAAATTCTTGAGGTAGTTAAAGCATCTGGTTTTGAGAACGCTGAAGTTGAAAATAAACAATATTCTCGAGAATGTAGTAAGGAATGGCAGTTTCGTGGTAGAATACGAGTACAACTTAAAAATGATGATGGAACACCTGTGAATGAAACATTTCCATCAAGTAAGTCTACAAAATAACAAATATCAAAACTTTTAACTAATTTGGAACTGAACTTAATATTAAATTTCAAAAATATATCAATCTAAAATCATTTTATAATGAAATTATTAGTACTTATTTCATTTGCATTGATCTTTTACAAAAAAATTAGTATTGAAACCAATTTAAAAACAAAATTTTTATAGACTTCCATTAAAATAATTAGAAATAAATTTCAAATATTGTCTTGAAACATATTTTAAATAGGTAATATGAGCATTTTAAAAAAACTAATTTATATAAAATTATATTTTACAGATCTATCAAATACAACAATATTTATTAAAATAAAAAAATATTTATATTATAATTATTTAGCCCAATTAATTTTATTATGTTTACTATGTATTTCAATTCATTAAATATTAGTTTAATTCTGAATAAAATGAAATGTTTTAATTATGCTGTAATAAATTTGATTTTAGGAATAAGTTTAATGAAACATTGTGGTGTACAAATACCAAAATTAAAAAGTCGAGTCATGAAAGCACCTGGTCCTGAACAACATCAAAACAAAAATGAAACTAGTGGAAACAAAAAGAAAAAAGGCCGTAAATAGAATATTGACTTTGTTTTTAATAATTTTTTTGTTTTCTTACTTTTAAACTTAATTGGATTTTGAAGGATTACTGTAATAAATAAAACTATACTTCATTTTCAAATACGATGTTTTATTTTCTCCAAACAATGTTTGTAATCAATGTATTTAATTAGGTACAACAGTAAGTGTAGAACAAGGAAAAAACCTTATTTATAAAGTAAAAGTATATATGGAGTTTTATATTTTACTAACAAACAAGAATTTACAAGAAATTAAATACAAAACTACAAACTATCCAAGTAAGGTGTAGAAGCTACATTACCATAACCAGCCAACGACAATTTGCTATTTGCTACTTTGCTGGCTGCTTTTTTAACATCCTCAACACTGACTGCTTCGACTGCAGCAACTAATTTTTCAAAAGGTAAAACTTGTCCAGTAACAGAGGCTTGTTGTGTAATATTTTCTAAAACTTCAGCACTAGATTCTGAAGTTGCAACAAGTGAAAAAATCAATTGTTTTTTAGCCCGGTTCACTTCAGCATCATTGATTGTAGGCGACTTCAAAGTTTGTACAGCAGCATTTAATACTTGACTGATATTTTTTCCATTGTAAGCTAATAGAAAACCGAAAATACCTGAGTCTGAATAGTTATAATTTACTGCTGATACAGCAAAATTATCTGAAGTATTTGTTTTGAGAATACTTTGTTCTAAAACTCCCTGACCATTTCCCCATTTAACTGATGATCCTTTGCCTAATAAATTCTGAAGAACAGCAAATGCAGCACTTTGAGAATCTTTGTAGCTCACTCCTTCACCAACAACAGCTAAATAAGTAGTATCCAAAGGTTTATTCTTTCTCAAATCGCCACCATAATATTTAGCCTTTGATGCAGTGGTTGAATTTCCACTTGGTAAATTTAAATCATCTGAAATTAAGACCAATGTTTCTAAGTCAACTCCAACACTGGAGATAATAGCTTTATCACTGATGAAATTCTGTTTAACGTAGTATAAAAGATGTTCAGTTTCCAATTTCTTGATGTTATATTTAGGCACAAATATTGTGTTACCAAGAGCAGTTCTATATGCAGCCTTATGAACCAAATCTAAAACTCTTGATACAGGTGGTATAGTAAGAAGATCATATTGTAAACGTTTTGAATTGTCAGAGAGCTCCCATGGTTTAAACTTTTGATTTGAAATAGAATCAATAAAATACTTCAAACTGCTGATTAAATTGTCCTTATGTGCTTCAATAGTATAAGTAATTGTTTCACGATCAGAGGTAGCATAGAAATTAGTACCCAAGTGACCCAAGTTTCGCAAAATTGCGAAATTAGTGGACGATTCGGTACTGAGTCCAGCTGAACTACGGATTACATGGGCGATACCTGAATTTTCTGGGTCTTCATAACGTGATCCAGCCAAGAAAGTAACTGAAATCCGTCCAATTTTGGTTGGGTACTCCGGAACAGCGACGACCAAGGTGTTGTTTGGCAATTTTTTAGTTTGTACCTCGGGTCCCTTGATGGATAACGCTGCCGCTTTACTAGCGTAGCAGCGTTTAGCGATGCTATTCATTACGGGCGTCTTCAACGTTGACATAGCCATTTGTGTGTTTGTGTATACAAATAAGAACAGAATACAAAAAGTTATAACTTACAAGTCTAAATTAGACAGGACTAAAAAAACTGACTTAGGGCAAACAGTGAACGAAAACCTTTGATTGAAAAACAGCTGGAACTGCCTGAACTGATAGTAGACAATTGCTTGTCTATACTCTTTGGAATTCTGGTCATAGGTAACCAAGGTTTATAGATAATCTATAAACCTTGATAGGTAACCACTTAGATCATACACTATATAAATATAAACATACATTTATGATATATATGATATAACATATATGATCTAAGAGTAACCCACAGATATAGATAATATACTACATGTAAATTATCAATATCTGTTTGGTAACCATTATAAATAGTTACACAGATCAGTATCACAGAATAGATTATATTCATGTAATCAGTGCTACTATCCAAAAACTAAACACGATCAAATTTTACTGTTTAAAACAGAGATGAATAAGCATTTATGTCCAGTGGCGCACGCGGGTGGGTGGGAATTAATGGGGTGTAACCCCCCCGAAATTTTCTCCGATGTCTAGGTTAAAATTTACATATTTTACAAGTTTGAAATATGAAGAGCTATTATTGAATACCTGATATCATTCATTATAGAATATTCCATTCTATTATCAATGCTATTATTTAAGTCAAAATATATAAAGAATTTGCATAATTTTGATAATTATAAAATGTGTTATATTTTTACCTTGACTATCGAAGTACGAATCTATATAGAAATATCGTTACCATCCCTAATAAGTATACCACATAGTAGATGCATTGATCGTATAGACTTGTACAACGTTGTTACTATTGAACAAGTCAAAAAATAAATTATAATAAAACAAGTTACTTTTGATCTTCAGTTTTCT